GCTGCTTGGAAAGATGGTTTAATGGCAGACAGGACACATGGCTTGAGCACTGAACAGAAAAGGTGATCACATGCTTCAGTGTTGGTGGAGAAGAAGAGAAGGAAGGATGAGTGGCTGAAAGTCCCTGGTTTTATGCCCTCTCTGGTCTTTGATCTTGAGCTTGTATTCTGAGTGGTTGTCAGAATCCCATGGGGCCTTGCATGGGCAACTCTCTAAGCTGTGTTTTGAATCCAAGTTTGGTTGAGTTCTCAGATGCCATGTGGTGAGTGGGGTAAAGGGCTAATATTATCATGCCTTAATCCCATCACTTTGGAGGTGAAGGGAAGAATTCTTTATTATGTAAAGGGACTGGCTTGGGCATCTTAATGGCCTATTGACAAAGGGGGATGGGCAGGAAGCTGCAGGGAGCTACTCTGTCTTTAAAACATGTTTCTTCCTTTTTCACATCAAGGGAAATATTCTGCCTTTTCAATATTTCCTAGGATATTTCATTTTTCTGGGAGAGGGCAGGGTGATAACTTCCAATAAATGAATAAAGTATCATCATCATCATCAATTACAAAAATACTCTTGTTCTTTCGAGCTTTCCTCTCACACTACTACTGGGCCATTGCATAAGACTTCACCTTTTGCTTTTGCAAACATTTCCCGCCGTTCTCCACGGGTTCTGCTCCTTCTAACCAATAATCTCTTTCCTTCGCTGAAATTGAAGAGGAAAACTTTAGCGACGCTCCCTTCGGTCGGCTTGGCCCTTGCCAGGGGAGAGTGCAGTACTCAGCCGCGTCCGCCAGGGGAAACCTCGTCAACTCCTTTCGGTATCGAACGGCGCTCAACCGCGCGAGTCCCGCCGGAGTGCAAGGACGTTTGTTGATGTCGCGGCGGCGTTTCGCTGCGGGAATCCCCGTCTCTTTCTTATTTTTTTGGTCGCCGTGAAGTGCATTGTGCGACGCGGGTTAAGTGACCAACTTACCCATTGCAACAAACTCCCCAATTTTTTTGTTCGACTGGAGTTTTGATTTGGCTGGGGTTTGGGGTACCCCCCCCTTTCTCTCCTTGGAATTCCCTCTTTGGAGTTGATTTACTTGTGGTTGCAAACTACCGTCTCGGTTTCCGTCCAACATCCTTGCGCTGTGGAAGGAAGGACCAGAAAGAAGCCGCCGCTTATCCTATCGGGTTGAACGAAGGTAAAATCCCAAGGAATGTCTCCTGCTCAGGCTGATTCTCTCTAATAGCAGTCCCTTCTGTCTGGGATCGCTTCAGGTTCCTCTCGGAAATGGACCGGGGGGGATGGGGGGGAGAGGTGTGTGTTTTGTGTGTGTGTCTTTGCGTGCGTGTGTGATGATCTCGTCGAGGAAGCGGAGAAGGAGGGGAAAACTGCGCATCTTGAATTATGCAATATTGCGCCGTGAAAGTTTGGCTCCCCCACCGCTTTTCCTCGTCCTTCGCAAGGCTAATTTCAGGCGGCTCTTCGGAAGCTCGGCGGGACAGTCTTGCTCCTAAATTAGATTGAATTTGGATCGTCCCGGGCACATATTTTACTCGGAAGTCAGGCACCGGTTGCAATAGAAATGACACCCCCACCCCCCACCCCGAAAGGGTTGAGAAAGGATCGTGCTGTGGCTGGTTCTTTTCATGGGAATACCTTTAACCTTATTAGAGATAGTCCGCGACTTGCATCGGTTCGTTTAATGACCGTTCAAAGTTATAGCTGCATGAAAAATGACTTATGACCCCTTTTCACACTTTCCAACATAGTGGCATCCCCATGGTCACATGATCAATCAAAATTCAGATACTTGGCAACAGACCCATATTTATGATGATGGTTACAGTGTCCCAGGGTCATGGGATCCCCTTTTGTGACTTTTTGACAAGTATAGTTTTTTTATCGGAAAGCTGGATTTACTTAAGAACTGTGTTACTAACTTAACTGCAGTGATTCACTTAACTGTGGCAAGAAGAGTCATAAAATGGGGCAAAGCTCACTTCACTGTCTCACTTAACAGAAATTTTGGGCTCAAAATGCCTTCAGTAGTTGTGGGAGCTTCATCATTGGAAACGTTCAAGAAGAGATTGGACTGCCATTTGTTAGAAATGGTGTAGGATCTCCTGCTTCAGGGTGTGTGTGTGTGTGTGTGTGTGTGTGTTGGACTAGATGACTTACAAGGTTCCTTCCAACTCTGTTAATTTGTTGTTAAATTGTGGTCCTAAGTCTGTACCGGTTTTTCCCAGAGTCTTTTAGCAACTGGGGCTGCTGATCCCTTTCTTCCCCTTCTCCTTCCCCTTCTTCTTACACTTCTAATTCCTCCTCCTTCCAATGACTGTAAAGAGCCTTTTGAATTAAGGGGAGGGGGAAGAGATTGTTGCTGGAGTCATGTGTTTAGCTGCTGCCTCCGCTCAGTATAGGAGGCCTTTTATAAATAACAAGATTAATTGCCTGGGAGACAGAAATTGCAACAGATTCAACACTTTTTTTGAAGCGGGGACATACACAGTAAAGGGATGTTGTAGCATTTGTGGGAGGATTAATGCCAAGGAGATTCGTATTTCAATTCAGGGGAAGTTGAGGGTCCCAATTACATTCCACACATCCAAATAGCCATGCCATTCTGGGAAAAGCAGGCTTAAAATAAATCACAATAAATCTTAACTAAAGTCAGTCTCAGGTAAAATGCCAGGACAGCAGCAGTGGCTTTCCAGTTTATTTATTT